CCCTGCTGACCACGCAAATTTCGCTACGCTCCTTTCACCCACTAGCGGAGAAAGGAAGTATTTCTTTCTCTGCGTTGTCTTCGGCGACGAAACAGGCAATTTTAATTTAGTTCGTATGCTTCATTTAGGCTTGATCTTTCACATGCAATAAATCTACTAACATGGGACAGCCCGCTTTACTTCCCCTCCGAAGGAAGGCGTGCAAAGGATATTTTCGCCTTTAAAAAATCTACGGTCGATCGGTTTTGAACCGGCGAACTTCGGCCTAACAGTCCGAAACATAACAGTCCGTTTCATCATCGCCGCCATTGATTCCGCAAAATGGTCCGCTGCGCTGATTGGTACTTTCCTTGGTTTATCCCTCGGCACTGAATCTATCGTTTTAGCGGGGTAAAACACCGCCTCCCGCAGATAAGATGAACTTACCATATTAACGACCATACCAGCTGCCGCGCCAGAAAATAGAAAATAATCAATATAACTATCAATTCCTTTCGGAAAAAAGTGGCACCACCTCTCCCGGGCTTGGTCATGAAATCACATCCTGCATATATCTAATGCTCATTGTTCATCAGAGAATAAGGGACAAACAAATTCGTGAATGAATAGCTATTGCTACAATGCTTATTATTCTTCATTATACCAAGATCTAAATCATTCCGTATCTCGTACAGATGAATAATTTGATGAAAGATGGTCCTGTGATGAACAAGCATTCGTAAAATAGTGCCAAGGAAAATGGGAGATTCTCAAAGAAATGTCTCGCAATCTCCCATTATCCATTCCACAAGTCCCATGCTCATCGAAAGCTAAAGACACATGTCGCTTACACATAAGATCTTTATGTACCATCGATATTTCAGTTTATTGCGGTTTTAGTTCCCGTTATCTACAACTCAATGTTGCTAAGGAGGAATAGGAAGGTAACAGTTTGCGCGGTTTGACGCCTCTTATATAGGATGATTCTGCGGTATCCACCTGAAAGTGAATCGGACAACACGGAAAACATTGATTAGAGCACGGGGCTGATTCAGTCAGTCGTCCCAACCCCATTAATTTCAAAGGTACCAAGCATAATCCAGCATCTTGCATGGCTCGTACCCGCGTCCTCCCTAGCACCTGCACGCTCGACCGTAAGATAGACTGAATTCAGCTCAGAGCCAGCCAGAAACAGGAGTGAGCAGTATTTAAATACTTGTATTTAAAATACGTATTATATATATTTGTATTGGAAAAAATTAATTTTGGAGTTTTTGACAGGTATTTTGGAGATATATATAAAAACATAAAATAGATGTATTTAAAAAATACTAAAAATACTCTAATAAAAATGGGGCTCCCCCATCGCCCTGCTAGAAGTACCCAAGTCCGTCGGGATGCACAATGGACATGAAGGGATGCAAGTGACCAGACAGATGCTTACGTACGTGTCACAGTCAGAGTCGTACCTAGTCGTATCAGGGTCCAATATCACTCCAACTGCATACGCCCCATACAATCACAGAGCCTCCACTAGCTTCAACAGGTCCCTGTTGATATGCGTGGTCCATGGATTCATGAGGTTGTCGCCATTCTCGTACACATCCATCCTCTCGAAACAATGTGAAACGACACTCGTCAGACCAGACAACGTGTTTCCAGTCATCAACAGTCCAATGTCGGGTCCACGGTTGACGGGCCCAGATGAGGCTAAAGCTTTGTTTCGTGCAGTCATCAAGAGTGCATGAGTACTCAGAGTACAAGTCAACCCATATCGATAATATCTCGGTGGATGTCTCGCACGCTGACACTCGTTGACAGCCCGTCATTGAAATTTCCAGCCATTTGCGTAAGGGTTGTACTTCTGTCACGTGTAATGAGTCTCCTCAGTCGACGTCGGTCCCGTTTTCGCACAATTTTTAGTGGCCGCAGCGATACCGGAGGCTGAATCGTCATAACCTGCCATTGTAGCAACAGAAACAGGTCTAATAACTGAGCCAGACTCTGGTTGTCTTGTAGATCGGAGCACCGTAATCTGATTGGTTACAGATCTCTTTATTTCTTTATGCACGGCTGTACAGTCTTTTTGACTCTTCAGTGTATTGTATGCATCCCACTACATCATGTCGGGAGACCAGTCGGGAGGTTAGAGCTGATCCCCATTGGGATTGTGCCCCGCAGAGGGGATCCCTGAAACGAAAATCTCCGTAAGATGTAAGTAGTTGGATCTCGTCATCCAACGGGGACCAACACCGCCACCTTCAGCGATAAACATTTACTACACTAATGACTAGGGGGCGGATTGTAATGACCTAAAATATTACCAAAAACGATCAATAAAATGCTCTTAAATACTTTATAAATGCCCTGAAAACGACGGAAAATGGCGTAAAAAATTATCAAAACCACCTCAGATGAACAATTCAAGCTGTTGGATATGTTACTGATGTAAGCGAAACTTTTTCCTTTTGTTTAAATGAACTCATCTTGCAAACTTCTGGTTTAGACTGCTCTTTTATATATAGAAATATCTGCCTTCATTTATCGCGGAACTGACAATGGCACCGGTAGGCGTCACAGGAACGTTAGAATACAAAATATTTACAAGGGCTGACATTACAATATATGAACGAAGAAATCGTATAGGCTACTCAGGAAACCTGTGTTGAACATTTGTTGCCCCTCGTAAATATTGTTTGAAGTACCATTAAAATCGATTAAATCAGCGAGAAAAGCCTTAAAAATGTCGTAAAAAGGGAAAAATGATTTATTAGTCGAAATTGACGAAAAATTCAAAAAAACGACATAAAATTGGTTTATTTCATTTCGTCATAAGATGAAATGAATTTCCATACTAAACGGCAAAATGTCCTAAAGTAAAAAGAATAAAGACATTTCATTAAAATCCTACCCGTACCAATAACCATAGCAGATGTCTTGTCCAGAAACCTCAATCCATCAATCTTGTATGTTTATGATAGTCTCTGATTATCCAAGGACTCTCTAAATAAACTAAAAATCACGTATTCAAAATCTACTCGTTCTAATATACTTTTAATGCAGTGCTTCCTTTAATCACTTCACAAAATTACTCACTTCGTACAATGACTAAGTGGTCGAATAATCTACAAGAAGACTTACTAATGATAGATTAAACGATAGACTACAACCAATGATAGATTTAATATTTGCGGATACGTTATTCACTAAGGCTATTCATTAATTTCGAGTACGCTTTAATCCCGAGAGGAGGCGATGAAGTTACTCTTTTGGAACTGAGATCCGAAGGCGACTACACGTCAGCTGCGCAGGTTTCCCCCTTCAGAGATATCCCTCGAGGAGGCACTGCTCTCGCGGCGACAAACGTATCTTCCTACTGGCCGTCGGACATGTATGAGAGGGAAGTGCACTTCAATGTAAGTTTGTGTGCAAAGGGAGAGGAGGAGATAAGGACGAGGAAGGGATGTCCGTGCGCGGTCCGGTGCTCGTTTGGTTTGGTTCTTCTCTGGTATTCGTCTGGTATTTTTCTGAGAAAGCACAGGAAACTCCCAATCAAAGAAACCGCCCTGTAGACTGCTCCTCCAGACAGTGAAGTCCACCTATAGCTCGACAACTGGACTGCGCGTGCGCGAAAAGGTAAGAGTTCCCTCTCTTTGCGGCCCAACTTCCCCGCCTGAGGAGCCGCCGATGCCGCCGCTTCGGCCCGGGCGGGTGGGGGCAAGACAGCCTGACCTTGAGGACACTTCCGAACCCTGTCGTGTTAAGTATTTCTGATTAAGCGGGAGAACGAAGTTGCAAGAGCGAATCAGTTATCGAGGCAGGCGGTCCTTGAGTTCAACTGAGCTCTCCTTCGCGAGTAGAGGGGGATGGCTTCGCCACACCACCTGAAGTAAGCGACATCATTGTTGTACGACATCGTACGTTGTCGAGCAGCATTTGTTTACCTAGTATCGAAAATCCTGCTCCACCACCGTCGGGTCTTGAGCGGCAGTGACGGTGCCCTCATAGAGCCTCATGACCTTTCGCCCCCTCGCGATCAATTAGAATGCGGCGCCAGAGGTCAGGGCGGCGGCGAGCCCAAAAGGGAAAGAAAGAATTTGGGAAAAAAAAAAATTTTTGGTTAAAATTGACATTTCCAAATCCTGTCCCCTTTAAAGGGAAATAGATTACTTTTTTAAAGGGGAAAAAATCTTTTTTATCTTTAAACATTTTTTTTTAAAGTTTTTTAGAAAGAACTCCCGAAAAAAAATTGGAAAATTTTTCTGAAATTTTTCGAAAACTCCAGAAGTTTTTTTTTTTCCAACGAAAAAATGAGCACTGAAACCCATTAACGTTTTCTTCACACTATCCAGCAACAAAATGTAATCAAAAACAATGGAAGCATTTTTTTTTTTAATTTTTAAAAAATGTTCCCAGGAAACTTCCTTGTAAAGCAACCACACCAAATTAAAATACCGATCTTCAATTCACGGGTCGCGAACATCAGCAGAACGATCGGGTAATATCAATGTTTGGAGAAAATCAGCTTGAAGTGTACGAGCTTGCGTTGTTCACACATGAAACAGACAGTTTTGGTCGTTATTCGATTTTTACGGTATCAAGGACCCCACAAACATTGGATTCTGGAACAACACACCCAAAGAGAAAAAATTTTTTAAATATAGCAACTGGTATTTATACTATTTTTAATCCCTTTAATAAGAGATTTTTCCCAAAATTTGGCTGGTTTTTTCGGCGCGGAATTAATAACTTTTTTCTATTTCTATGCGAAAATAATAACACTGCTTCCTGACGATATATCTTCTATGAAGTTGCATATGAAGTTTCGCTGTGACAAATGTGGCAGCTTGTAGAATAAATAGATTGAAGAACTCATGAACTCTAAGAACACTTAGAACTTAAGATCACTGTGTTACGTGGTTGCAAAGTTAGCGGAAATGCCCAATAATTATGACTCCCACAATGGGAGTGGGGTTATATCAATTGTGGTAGGATTATAGTGGGACTAATAGGGTGATGGAATGGAAGATGGCGCGAGTGAGATGGTGATGGGGGGTGTGGTGTGGTGTGGGCTGTGGTGGTGTCTTGGTGGTGGTGGTGTTGGTGTGTGGTGGGGGGTGTGGGTGGGGTATGGCGAGGTGGGTGAGGGTGAGTGGGCGAGGGTGGAGGTGGCGAGTGGGTGACTGGTGGGGGAAGTGGGAGGTGGGCGTGGATGGGAGGTGGGACGGCGACGGTGGGGAGGTGGGAGTGGGGGACGGGGCCGTGGAGGTGGGGGCGGTGGGCATGGGGACGTGGGACGGTGGGGGGCGACTGGGGCTTGACGGTGGGCGGCGACGGTGGGGGGAGGTGGGGGGGGTGGCACGGTGGGGGTGAAAGGTGGGGGTGAGGTGGGGGTGGGCAGTAGTAAATGGTAGAAGGTGAAGCTATAAGTAATAGTGTGATGGTCATTGCTGGTACAGGTGTGATGGTGGCGAAAGCTGATGGTGGTGGTGGTAGTACATGTTGGTAATTTCTTGGAGTGGATTATTTGAATGATCGTAGAGGTGTTGGTGTTAGAAGTCGTTCGACTGTCGACAGCGGGTGTTTGTCTGAGCTGGCTGTTGCCTTGATGGGGGTGGTGGAGACGGAGCGGACGTGGCGGCTGGCGACAGAGACTCGGAGTTGTGTGCTGACGGCTCGCGCTTACCGACAAGGGTCTTGGTCTAAGCGAGTTCTGCCGGCGCGACGCTCACCTACCCGCTGGGGGCGCGTGGCCTACGCGCTCGGACTTTCGGCGCAGCGCCTCCATCTTCGCCGTGTGCTGCTGCGCGCGCCAGCGCGCGGGCCAGAGCGGCGCCGCGTGGACCAGAATGGCGGCCTTGGCAGATGGCGGGCTCCGGCGGCGCACCAGAGCGAACGGAAGTCAAGGGTGCGCGAACGAAGGGGATGGGGGAACAGGCGGGAGAGGCCATCGGTGGCGGTAAAAGCTCCCGGGAGGGGCTGTGCGAAGCAGAATCCGTGAAGGCATTGGGGGAGAATGGCATTGGCTGACGAAGACGTCAGGACAACATCGGAGGCGTCTGCGAGAGCTGCATTCACGGCGACTGGACAGAGGATGAAATTGACTTAGAGGGACTGAAGGTCGAGAGGACGCCTGCTAAACGTCTTTCTCACGCGTGTATCCTCCCGGCGCATCTTGTGGCTTCGTGCGCGCGGTTGCCGGCGAGGATTGGTAAGTATTTCTGCGGCATTGTAAATTTAGTGTTGGTTTAGGCTAATTCCTCTATCTCCTACACTCTAAATCTAGTGTTTGTTCCTGCTAATCTTTCCCTCTCTCCACCACCTTAAATCTAGGGTTTGTCCCTGTAACTTTCCTCTTT